CCTCCTCGAAGCACACCCTTCTCCCCGTCTCGAATTCGACAGAAGATCCTTTCGCGCCAGCTGGACGGTCGCGAGGGGCTGCCTACAATCCCGGATGTCCTCCCTGAAGAGGTCGAACCATTAGATGGAGATGATGCCAAGAAGGACAGCGATGGAGATTCCTCATCGCCCACACTACAACCCGACTCCCCTCCTCCTCGTCTACGCGCAAGAAACAGCGCTGCCAGCCTTTCGGGCTTACCAAACCCCGAAACAGTTACAGCCGAGACCTTGGACAAGCACATGTACACTGCAAACGACCCGCCCCTAGATATTTTTGTACGAACCAGCGGAGTGGAGCGCCTCAGCGACTTCATGCTCTGGCAATGCCATCAGGATACACAGATCTTCTTCATCGATACTCTGTGGCCTGATTTCGACCTCAAGGACTTCATCTGGATTCTGCTCGAGTGGCAATGGAGGCAGAAGCAGAAGGATCGCGACGAGGCAGTGGTTCGGCCTTCTTCTGTTACAGCGTGATTTGATTCTGGTGGCAGTGATACCCTGGTTGAGTAGAAAATCCAAACAGCATTCATCATAAGCAGTATTGGGATGGTTGAGAAAGGCGTGTGAATTTGAAGATTTTGGTGTTAGTTTTGCTGGGGTTCCTGAGCGATAGACTTTAATACGCTCTTAATACCAATTTCTTAGTTTGTACAAGATAAGCTTGTTTGCGTTGATTCTGCACTGGTTCTTTGTAAACAGATATTTCATCGCCAATGGATGTGAGGTTATGACGAAATGGCTATCGATATTGATACCCCACGCGGCGTAGGACATTCCTCCTTGATCAGTATCTGATTAACCCCTAAAGACTTGAGTATTGCATTCAAATATGGAATTGAGATTGTGGGAGACAGCGGCATTCTCTTTGAATTTGACGTAATTGCTAACTTGGAGACTAATCTGGTTAAAAGTCAACATTGATCTCAGTCGCATGTGCCTTTTTCGCTAAGTACCTACTCCGTCATCGGGGGCTGGTTTCTCCGGGGCTGCAGGTCGGGTCCTGTGCCCCCTAGAGTTACAGCGTGTACAGTGGCTAGAGGAGGAGAGAAAACTCAGGACCTTGATCCTAGATGACAAAAAGACTTAGGTAGCCTAGCACAAGTTTAGCCTAGGTTTAGGATACCTTTTACCAAGTTTATTTTAACACCCTATATCAAGGTCTGATGTTTTCTTGCTCCCCGAGGGGAGTGGGCGCCGCGGCATTCGCAGCGCTGAGTCTCCAAAATCGAATGGGAGTGGAAGACAGACACAGCCCATCCAATCCATATCCCATCCCGCTTTCGTTTCTGCTACTACGCGTGCTCTCTTTTCTCCCCTCCTCATTATACACAGATTCTTCTCACCACTTATGGCACCAGAGCGCAAAATGACCTAGCCTTTTGTTTTCCACCTGGCCGATACCAACTGTTACTTGCCTATTTACTTCCTGTCCACCTCATACCTCTCTCTCTTGATTCAAACTTTCTGCCCCCAGCTTCGTCCCGCCGTCTAATCTCGAACTGATCGACCGAGCCGCCTTAGTCTTCTCTCTACTCTTTCGCGTTTTTCACCATGAAGTCGGCCAAGGCGCCCGCGACGGAGAACTCGTCGCACCGCCGGTCGCAGCCCGTCCGTCAGACTCGTACGAACCCTCCGCGAAGCATCGCGAACTTGGGCCGTTCAGGTGGTGCTGGCAGAGACTCAATCGGCGGTGCCGAGCAACCCATCGACATTTTCCCTGCGATTACACACTTTGCCGATGCCATAACTGCACTCCCAAAGGAACTCGTTCGGCATTTTACACTCCTCAAGGAGGTTGATGCCAAACTTTTCACCCCCGAAGATCAGCTTTTCCGACTTGTTGAAGCTGCCATCAACGCTCCTGTTTCCGAGGCACGTCCGAATAACGAGGCATCCAGTGCCAATGCTCCTGGTTCGGCGCCTATGAGTGCGCAGAATAGCTCAAGTGGTATTGCATTCAACCATAGTGTCCAGAGCGTACCTTCAGTCGATGAATCGAGCAGGGATGCTGTTTTCGACCCATCCAATCTTCCTCGTCGTCACCTCTTTCGCCAGACCGCGCTCAAGATCCAAGAGATGCTTGTCTCGCTCGAAGAAAAGAACCACGTTATCTCGACAGCCAACGAAGCACTCCAAGCCCAGCTCACTCGGATTGAAGATGTCTGGCCTCACCTAGAAGGCGAATTCAGTGACGAGGCCAAATGGGGAAGCACCACACATTGGGCATATCCTGAAAATCGCTTCTCCAAGGCCTCTCATGTCGATCGAACACGGCGCGACGGTGCCGCAGCCATATCTGCAGCTGCGCAGGCTCTTGCTGACGAGGCAGCCGCTAGAAGCGATGCTCGCAAGCAAGCTGTACAAGCAAAGAAGAATTCGAGAAATCACAACAATAATCATAACCACTCTAATGCCCATAACCACGAATCGGAGGGAGACGACCATGACGGTAAACACAAGCCTGAAGCTCCAAAGAAGACAGCCAAATCGCGGAAGACAGCAACAGCAACGGAAACAGCCAATGTTGGACTGGGCATTTCTACGGCTGCGACTAACAATGGCAACCCGCCACAGAAGCGACGCAAGGTTGAAAAGACGACTAATGGTGCTGCGGCGACAACAGATCGTGCAATGAGCTCGGTATTTGGAAATGCTGCACCAAAGGCAAAGACAACAAGTCCTAGAGCAACTCCCGCACCCGAGGCACCTAAGAAGAGAAAAGCTCTCCCTTCGGGGAGCGGCCAGTCCAAGAAGAGGTACGTCCCAGAATCCGCAGGAGATGCTCCGAAGACAGGTTCTAACATAGTGATCTGTAGCAGAAACGGCGTAATCGGTTTATCCAATTCGGTCAACTCGTCACCCGTAATCACCGAGCTACCTGAGCCAAAGCTACCCCCTGTTCGCGCATCACCAGTACCGGTTCCTACTCCAAACCCGGCTCGGACTCGTTCGCGACAGAACTCAATACAGACTGTAAATACGGATAGCAACAAGGCAAGGCCGACATCATCGGCTTCTAATAAACCCAATGGCAATGCAGCTAGCACACCAACCACTGGAGCTCCAGCAGCTAGTGCGCTTCGCAACGGTGCTGAACCCAAGACTCCAAAGGAGACGAGTGCACCGACCAAGACCGAAAATCCTAAGAAGGAAGCGGAGAAAACAGAAACTGTATCAACGCCTCCGGTCCCTCCTCCTACCACAACTGCCACCACCTCCACCACCACTACAGCTGTAACCACCACCGCTGCTACGACTGGCAGCAAGAAGGATACCAAAAAGCCGGAGGAGAATGATCGCAAGAGCGAGTCTCTACCACCAGTTCCACAGACTACCACAGTCACAACAAAGAGCGGGCGCGCCAGTAAACCATCAACGCCAGCATTGGCAACGTTCCAAGAGGCAGTGCAGCCCCGGGCACGCTCATCGAGGAACAATGACGCGACTGGTACTGGAAAGAAAAATCAGAAGAAAGCTGCACCTGCCATTCATGCAGCAGTTGCTGCTCAACTGGCCGAAGAAGACACGAACAGCAGCATGCAAGGCGACGAAGATGACGGTGATGTTGATGCAGATGAGCCAACATACTGTTACTGTAATGGGGTGTCCTATGGTGAGATGGTAGCTTGCGATGCTGTTGAGTGCCCCCGCGAATGGTTCCATTTGGACTGTGTTGGACTGAAGGTCGCACCAACATCAACAGGTAAGTTGTTGCAAAAGAGGACTGAACTATCAGGCGAACTAAACGCTAACTTGGTGTAGCAAAATGGTATTGCGAGGACTGCAAGGAACGCCTCAAAGCGGGAGGTAAAAAGGCCAATGGTCGATAAAGGTCAGGCGACATTTGTGTGACGCGAGTCACGGACCAGTCACGATGGCCTCATTTTGAAATCGACGATTGGTTCTAAAACGAATTGCACCGCCCATAGACTAATGGGCGAATGTATACGATAGACACATACGGCGTTTCCTTTGTTTTCTTGGGATGGCGGTGGACGCGGTCATACAGTACCCGTTCTTTGTTTCTGGTGTTCTCAAATGGTTGAGGGAGGGTTTGTTGAATCGAGGGTTATGTTATCAAGTTCTCGTCTGGAAGCGCAGATGCTGTATACGTTCAGGGGTTATTCTCAATTCTATAGAAAGCGTTATGGTATAGCAGGCGAAGGTGCGAATATGGATGGAGAGCCTGGGGCAAAATGCGGGGGAGTTTGAGGGGTGTGTATTGCATTACTTACATTGGCCCCGCCTGGGCGGAATGAATACACCGTTGGATTCGACCAATGGAAGCACGTGCTTGAAATGTGTTAGTGATGACCGGATGAGGAGAGGCGACGAGAGGAGCACCAGGGAAAAGTCACGATGTTTGGGCTGGAGCTGATGGTGGTTAGGTTGTGCTCAGTGCCGAGATTACAGCCCACCCGCCGAGCTTGACACCAAGGTTCGAGGGTGGTCCAGCCATGGTCACGAGGTTCACGATGCAGACCGCTAATAGCAAAATGTTAGGTAATTGATTTTCTGAGCCGCCAGAGTGCAAGGGGTAGCTTGAGGCATTGGCCAACGGCAGAGGGCGACAGGGGGGAGCTTCTTTTATTCTGGTGGTTGTGAGGCTTGCAAGTGCTCCCTGTCCGCGGTAGCGAAGCTACGATCTGCAACTTGTTGAGGAGCAAGGAACTAGGCTATGTAAGGAAAGTAAGGGGAGAGAAGGGGCGGGAAGAGAAGAGAGAAGAGAAGGGGTTTAGAAAGGTTTCGAGCTCAATAGTGTCACACGGAGATGGAGGTTCCGGGGGTTCGGAATTTGGAAGGGGGTTGGTCATTAGGTACTTAGTCAGAGAGACAGTGGGAGCTAGGTGACGTGTTGGAGGAGTGATGGAAAGAAAGTGAAAGTGAAAGTGAAAGTGACAGGCAGATCTGGGTCATGACGTTAAGGAAAATCCGGGGTAAATCTGTCCCTCTTAATGGCCGGTGTCTTTTTTTGTCTGCTCCCGTCTTCCCTTTTACCTTCGGTGATAGGCTCCAGGGGGGTGCGGCTGCGGGTACACGGCGCTTATAAGCAAGCTGTAAGTGTCCCGGCCGCGCTCCGAGTCCGCTGGCGCGGAGAGGAGATCACGTTATTACACTCTCATGATGATATATTCGTAATCAAACACAACACAGATCTGGAAAGTCCTGACGATGGTGCCGAAATCCGATCATGATTCCGAGGACCTGCAATGGTGTTGCACAAACATGCTGCTCAATGATGCTATTGTGAACCTCCTTTTCTGAATGATGGCGATCTCGGCTGGCATTCAACAGGTTATTCAGGGGCCTCAGTCTGGAGTGCATAATTTGATGAGGCGTTGTCTTTCCCAGGTCATTGTCGTCTGGAGAAACAGCCGATGTAGCTTATTAATTACATACCATGTACACGATAGTCCGGGGACGAGCTGAGCAATCTCATCTAGATCAGACACCATGAGGCACGTGCAACAGCTAAATCGCATGTTGCCAGGATGCTGGTCGTACTATGGCATATCATATGGTCAGCGTGATTCAGGAACGTGGTATGTTTCTTGGCTGTCTGTGCTTAGCAATTGGGGGTTGTTCAAGGCTGTTGATATTGAGATGAGGTTTCGGGAGGGAGGATACTAACTTATTAACTACAATATGCGCGGAGTAAATTGGTCTCCGTTTGGTTACTACTGAAAATAGGACCCCGGCTGACATGTCTGGTCCCTCGGCGGCTGGAGTCGGTGTTCGTCTCCGTGGTCGGTCTCGGCCTGGCGTGTTTAAGCTCCAGTTGGCGTCGACTAGGGCCGGAGGAAACGGGGTGCCGGTAACGACGATGCCCACCGGAGAGAGTAATGTTTACTTGAAAAGAACCCTTATAGAGGACCTAAAATCTGGGGACCGGCATCTTTGCCGGTTCTCGAAGGAAATGCCTCTCTTTTACGTATCGTTAGCATTTTAAAATTCTCTCAAATTTGTCTTCTCTGACGGGCTCTGTCTCTGAAGACAGTTCAAGCATGAGTGCGGCGTTGTACGATTTGGAGTGGTAATAAGCCGGCGGTGCAAAGCGGGTAAGGTATCTTGAGGCAAAAATACTCTTTTCGTACCGAGGAGCATGCAGCGCCTCAAACTCTGCTGTTTTAAGACTGCCCTTGTGACCTGAGTGGCCACTGTACGTACGCTATAGTAATGTCCTTTTTTTCGCGAAGGTGTCGGGTCGACCTTGGGGCTTCTAGCTTGGGGGGTCCAGAAGAAACGGGTGCTTAGAAAAGGCCATTGCCGAATCGCGTTGCACTCCCGACGTGGCCGACATTCTTTAGATCACGAGGATCTCAGCGAATCTGCCAATATGTGATTTCTTAATTTTGAGATCTGGGGCTTTTTGATGCAATTCCAGGGAAACGAAGGCGGGGTTGTGTTGTTTCTATTACTCTACCTATACTCTACAGGTGCTGCCGTCCATTCGCTGACGAAGGATGTCATTATATTACGTTTTGCTACGTTACGTTTGGTTCTTGTTGAACTGTAGGAAGAATCCGCTTACTGGCTGGCTCAGCAAAAAGGTTGTCTCGCAAAGAGGAGGAGTACGGTTAGGTGGGAGGAGCCTTGTCCGCGGAGTTTATAAGTGCAAGTTCGTATAAGTGACATGGTCTTTCATGTTGCAAGTTGTACAACATATACGTCAAATGAATACATGAAGACGCAATGCTTGCAAGATTCCGGGGTAAGGACATGACTGCCTGCACTGTAGAAACATCTGATGGTCAGCAAGATGATGTGCAATTTGACGTGTTGTTGCCAAGACGAGGTTTGACAAAATTATTAGACGGACAAGCAAGAGGCAGCTGGGGAGTTGATTTTTTCTGTTAGTCTTGGCTTCTCAGCGAGGTCGTTCTCATTACTAAATCTCGACTTGTTTCATCCAATCGAGTGAGTGGCACACCTCTCTCTCTTTTTTTTTTAGGCCGATCCGGCGTTAGCGGTTGCAGCGAAATTCTTTTCTTTGTTTGGACATTGGATTTCTGAGCGGCAGCGGCAGCGGCAGCGGCTTTTGGCATCTCATTACTCGCTAACAATTCATCATTGGGTGGTTCTCGATAGAATGGATGGATACTTGGTGAGCTGCGACATTCATCCTTGACTGACCGAGATTTCATGATGGATGGACGGACATGGCATCGACTGTGACAGTCCAGGTAATGAATGACTGTGACAGACAAGCCATGGTGTCGTGTCGAATGCTCACCTGACGTCTCCAGACCCGAAAAGTCCATCCAGTCTTTGATTTCTATTACTCAATATTGTGCGATCCCGAGCTAAACAAATGCCCCGTGCATGAGTATGAGGTGCCAAACACCAACGCCAACGTCTCTGGACTGGCCCCAGTGGCGCCGCTCCTTAGCCTCTTTTCTTACTTACTGTTGCTCATCGTTCGGGGTTCGCCTTGAATCTTGCCTTTCCCTTCCCTTCCCTTCCTTGTCCTGCTTGTCTCGTCTCGGTCTTGGGTCTTGGATCCCTTTCCCTGGCGTTTGGACCCTCCGGTCCCCGTCATGAGGTCCCCATTGAGGTCCCGTCCCTAGTTCCATTACCCATTCCTTGTCCTAGTCCTAGTCATAATAAATGGTCGTTGTACTAGACTAAACTTCATGGAGTTGCCTCGTGGAGTCGTTCGTTCGTTTATAACTATCCCCAAGCCCCCCCGAGCCCTGATGCGCGAGTCGCTCTGTTTCTTCCTTTTGAATTCCAGACTATTTTGACGATAAGAAAGTATCCTCTGACCTTTAGATCTTATCTCTTGGTCATCTCTCATCTCCGAGTATCGCAAACCATTTCGTCATCGCTTCTCGCCGCCCTCTATCGGCCTAAGCTTAACAATACCTACAGACAGCACCGTATAATAAGAAGACTCCGGATCCGGTGGCTCATAGAACGCCACTGCTATTTCGTGAACATTCTTTTTATTCGAACCTGATATTCTTGCCAACCGTTTGGTTGGCGATCTCATTCCTACCTAGCCTACCTACCTAGCCTACCTACCTAGCCTATTCTCACCTGACCATTCCGTCCTCTCTCGCTGAGGTCGGCCATTGCATATCTTTATATCTTTAATTGAATGGCCCTCCCTCTTAGCCCCACGCACCACGCGGTGCCTCAGTTTGACCTTTCTGCTCTGCTCAAGGCCAAAATGTCACGCCCCGAATCTCCCAACAGCAACAGCGACAAGACTGCTCGATCGTCCTTCTCGTCTGTCCGAGAGAACGATGATGGTCTAGCCCAGACCTTTACCCGCTCAAAGATTTCCTCCTACACTCAAGGGCTGGAAGAGGTATTCGATGAATCACCCTCACCCTCCGCTGAGATTGCACAGCCGTCTTTTCAGGCTCCTCTGACGCAGCCTCACAGTCGGCTTCATGGCTTCTGGTTCCCCGCGGACAACTTTCGCGGATGGAAGCAGATCCCCATCAAGGGCAAATCCGCCAGCCGCAGCTGCGAGGATCTTCACAAGCTATCCATGACATGGAGCTCTCCAGCACCTCCCGCCGTCGCTGAAAAGGCTTCGCCGAACAGCTACCAGACCGGATCTTCTCCTCTCGAGAGACTTCCCAGCGAAGTTTTGGGTACGTAAACTTGCGCGCATCGCAGCCATCAGCCACGAACCCTGCTGAACCCCGGTCCCAACTATATGACACACCTTGTACTAACATGTCGATCACAGGTGCCATTATCGACCTTCTCGTCATCGAGATCCCTCCCAATGGTCTTACACCACGAAATGCCGACCTTATGGCTCTTCTCCTTACTTCGCGATCTATTCATGCTGCGACTCTCAACACTCTCTACCGTCACATCACGATTCCTCACTCTCGTATCTTCCGAAAGTTCCTCGCAACCATCACTGAGTACCCCGCGCTCGCATCCATTGTGCGGCGGCTCGACTTCAGCCACTTTAACCCCTCCACCATCTTTTCTACTGCAAGCGAAAGAGCCCAGACTCGAAACCTGACTTCCGAGACCCTCTACAAATGTCTCGAGCTAACCCCATACCTCCAGGAGTTCCTGGCGCAAGAGTACATCGATGAGGATTTGGGACCCGATGTTATCAAGAAGCTCTTCTTTGAAATGCCCCGGCTCCAGGCCATCGACTTTTGCGGCTGCTCCTCTCCTTCGTTCAAGAATTCGTTCACTAGCCTCCTCCAGGCTCAGTGGCCCGATTCTTTGACTCTTACCCGTATTTCGTTCCATAAGTGCCTGAACCTGCCAGGCTCCGTCTTCGAGGCCATCCTCCCTCGACTCGAACGAGCTACTCACCTCGATCTCGCCGGAACCAGAGTTACCGACAAGGCGTTACAGAGCTTGCCTGAGACGGCAAGACTCACACACCTGAACTTGGCCAAGTGCCGAGAGTTGACCTCTGAAGTTGTTGTCAAGTTTGTCACAACTCATCCCGCGATCATCCAGACCATCACTGTCCTTAGCCTTGCTACTAATGCCAGCAGCCACCTCCTGCTGGGCAAGGCGGATGTTGATGCTATCCTTCCCCGACTGCCCCCTACCCTTCGATCGCTGAGTCTCAAGGGTAGCAGAATGGATCCTTCCCAGATCCCTCTCCTCACCCCTCTGGTCCAGCATCTGGAGGAGCTTGCTATCGGCCGAGGCCTCGATCTCCGTGACATCCACCAGCTCCTGTACCAAGCCCAGGAGTGGATTCCTCACAGTCTCCGATACCTCGATATCTCCGACCTGGACACTATCATCGGTAGTGCCAGTGCACTCCTTACCCCCGCCTCCGCCCCGCTGCAGGTTATCGAGCTCGAAGAGCGCGCATACGAGCGAGCGGCCAAGGCTAAGAAGAACCTTGAACGTGCAGGATGGACCCCCAAGGAGTTCGGCAGCCGTTACTGGCTAGTCCGCTTGAACACCGACGGGGCCTCTCTCGACAGCGGCGCCCGGTGGTGGAAGCTGGGCGCTGAGAGCTGGGGCATGAGGAAGATCCCGGTTGCGGAGGCCGACGTCGGAGGCATGTATGGCACGTTCATGTTCGGCCGAAGGCTGTAAAATGCCAACCTCCGACACCAGTTGCACGGATTTCTCTACTCTCACATCATTTGTTAAAGGTGTTATGGTTTGATATTTATACGGGTAGATTTGGGTTGCATCTTGCTCTGATATCCCGGCGCATAACGGTCAAAATTAGCGATAAAAGCAAAGTCATTTTTGATGGAAAAAAGCGTTCTGAAGCATGGATATGACGAAGGAAAACGTGTAGATAATCAATA